TTTCCACCCTGCTCCGAATTACTAAAACGTCAAAAGAGAATAATAGCCTTTGGGCCTGTTATCAGGACTCTGTTCTAATAACATATTCATTCTGCATTCATCTTATTACTACTTGTACTGAATTAGTAGCTCACTTAACACATATCTGCCGACATGCTTTCAAATAGCTTAGAATTCAGTGGTTCTCAAAGGGGTCGGGACCCCTTTTGGGGGGTTGCATATCAGATATCCTGCATATAACAGATTTACATTTTGATTCATAGCAGTAGCAAAATTACGGTTATGAAGTAGCAACAAAATAATGCGATGGTTGGGGGCCACCATAACCTGAAGAACTGTTTTACAGGGTCACAGCATTAGGAAGATCGAGAACCACTGACTAAGATACAGTCCTCTGGATGTTGAACTTTTACGATTTTAGGAGAGACAACAGTTCAAGCTCCCTGTTTTTCTCTGCTTCCCATCGACTGCTATGTCCACCACTCCCTTCTCTGTAATTTCCCTCAGTCTACCTCCAAATTTGGAATCACAACAGTTTCCATGTGGACAAAACCCCGAACGGGAATCTTTCCTGCCTCGTGCTAACGGTGCCACGGCAGTCAACCACTGACACCATCTGCCAGGCTCTTCATCCAAGGTATGTGCTGAGTTGTGTTCCATGAATGGCGCTTGTATTACTTGTAGTTCATGAATGGTACTGCTGCAGAAGCATCAGGGAGGAAAAAAATGAAAGGACATCTATTAATTATTGAAAAGAACATTAAACATCTCATCTGAATCAGATTGCAGGGACTTTTTTACTTTATTAGGTTAAGATATGTTCCCCTCAACACAAAGTCACTTGAACTAGTATATATATATATATATATATATATATATATATATATATATATATACACATATACATATATATGTATGTGTGTATAATAATTCGTGTGCTGCTCTATCAGTAAGGACTAGAAGATGGGAAATGTAGAACTTGATTGTCTATAGAAAACTTAGGAATAGGACTGACAAAATGGGTCGAATTTTTATGTCATGAGTTCAGTATCTGCTGGCTGGTTTGGAGTGTGTATGCTGGTGGTTTCTTTGTTTCATTTTGTTTTAGTATATATGCGCAGTGGAGGCACAAGAGGAGGCAGCCCTCCTGGTCCACCCTCAAATCTGCACAAACTTATTGTGCACCGAGGGCAAATGGAACAGCAGGAGAGCCATTTGGTTCAAGTTGCTCCGAAGACATTTGATCAGAGACATGCAAGTCATCACAAACACGTGCTTACAAGTCCAATACGGCTCTTTGGAAATTAGATAAGATTAATTTTAATGTGAAATAATAGCAAGGCTGTTCAAGACCTTGATGCTGAGACGTCATGGCTGCGTAGATCTACTAGGGAGTGAGCATATGGGTAGAGTCTGATCCAAATGGAAAATCTATCATGCATCTCAGTAAGACTGGAGATTCCGAGCAAATGGATGAGTTTGTTAGCTGCCTCAATGTGCTGTTTCACTTTTCCTCTTCGCTTGTTGATGACTTGGGAGGAGAAAACCCCAAAGAAAGGTTCTGTTTGCGATGTAACTAAATTTAACGATATTATAATTCCAGGGAAATACACAACACCTAGTAGGAATCAAGGCCACTGACAGCCACTGAAGGACACACACAGCTCAATGGCACGGTAGCACACAACTGCAGAGAATAAAGTCATATCCTTTTGTATTGGCAACCACCAATCCTATTCCATGACAAAGTATTATTTATGTAACAAGGGAATATTCCATAAAGAGAAAGTGTGATATGTTTACAAGTTACCATAAGTTATCAACTGTACTTTGAAAGTACTGGGTTGAAGTTGTCCTTCCATTCTCCACAGGGACTGGGGCCAGCTGAGATGTTCAGACTTACTTACTTGTCCTCTTAAGTAAAGCCCCATGACCTGACTGGACTCGCCATGGCAGCCCAGACCAAGGAGATCAGAGCATCTGAACAAACTCAACTGCATTTTCATCAGCCTTTGGGAGACAACCATGTCCTCGCTTGCTTGCTACTACTGTGAGAAAACACTGGCCAGGGCCACCTTGAGGGCAGGGGGTTTGTTTGACTCTGTTTCCCTAATAATCCATTCCTGCTGGAACTCGGGGCAGGAACTCAAGCAGGAACCTGCAGGTCAGAACTGAAGCAGAGGCCAAGGAGGAACGCTGCTGATTGCCTTGCTCTCCGTGGACTACTCAGCTTGCTTTCTGATATCACCCAGGACTACCAGCCCAACGTGGCACCGCTCACAACAGGCCAAGCCCTCCCACATCCTAATATTAATCAAGGAAATACCCAGACTTGCCCACAAAATAATTTGATTGAGACAATTGCTCAACTGAGATTCTCTCTTCCCAAATATGTCAAGGTTTGTGTTAACTTGCAGGCTAACCAGCGCAGACCACCACCTCATTCTCTGAATGTGAATTCCCCATGGGCAGTTCACACCAAACACGTTGAAACTCTTACTCAGTACCAGCCAGGTCCACCACCACCCCCATTACATGCCATGTGCGCACGAAGGACATGGAATCATTCCAAATTTGATCTAAACCAAATGAAAATAGTTTAGGCAAGCGAACCCATTGAGTAAGAATAAATCCATTCCATTTAATTCAAAGTCTATTATAGTTTAACCCTATTTTAGGAAAATTCCATGAATGTTTAATAGTAAAGTTAACAAAGAATTGATTGCTATCATCCTGAGGCTTCTCGGCCTTCAAACTGTGACTACGGACTTGACTAAATGTAGCTAGCTCATGTTTAACGTGGAACAGAAAACTCTATTTGTGCCACACACTTTGTTGGAGATCATTACAGAATGACCAGAACCGCACACCTCGTTAGGCTATGCTATAATTATGCAGCCAGCAGACACCTAGACTAAGCCAATAGGGTCAGTTGTGGACCAAGTACCACATTCAGGAAACGCTGCCTTGGGAACAGTACTTAAGGTTAAAACAACTCACACGCACTCCCCTGCAGGTGGGTAGAGATTGTCCTGAAATCATGGAAATGGAAGAAGACCTACCCCTGGTCAGACAAATCCCTTCATAGTTAGAGGCCTCTGGCTTGGCTAGTTGTTTTAGTTTGGTGGACCATGCCTTCGTAAACTAAAAATAAAGCTTAGGTATACTTGGACTCCTGAACATAAAATCTTACATACATTGCTGTTGTCTTCCATGGAGGCTCAAGCTGATTTCCTAATAACCATGACTGGAAGTACCATTGGGTGATTTGAATGACAGATGTAGCCAGAACTACATTGTTTTTTGTTTGTTTGTTTGTTTGTTTGGTTTTGGATTTTTTTGGTATTTATTTATTTATTTATTTATTTGTTTATTTATGTTTTTCGAGACAGGGTTTCTCTGTGTAGTTTTGTGCCTTTCCTGGAACTCACTTTGTAGACCAGGCTGGCCTCGAACTCACAGAGATCCTCCTGCCTCTGCCTCCCGAGTGCTGGGATTAAAGGCGTGTGCTGCCGCCGCCGCCGCTGCCACTGCTGCTGCCGCCACCACCACCCGGCTGTTTTTTTATTTTTTAGTACTTACATTTAAAATTGTACCAAAAAATCATGAGCAAAATTAGCATGTAATCTTCTTTCTAGAATTTTCCATTTCTGGATCGTTTTCCAAATCCTGCTTTCAGGTTTGTTGATTTTCTGTGTTTCTAGTATTTTTTTGTACTTTCTTAATCCCCACTATAAATTCCATAATTTCCCTTTTCTACTAGTTTTGCTTCTTTGTTGTGGGGTTTGCTTAGTTTTGTTCTGTCTTTATGACAGGGTCCTGGCTAGCCTAGAACTCACTGTGTAGCCCAGGCTGGCCTCAAGCTGGCAGTGGTTCTCCTGAGTGCTGGGACTCCAGATGTGCATGGCCACAAACAATGCCTGCTAGTTATTTTTTATAGGACTTTTGTTTCCTGAGATAGAGTCTCATTTTGAAGCCCAGGCTGGCCTGGAACTCACTATGTAGCCTAGGCTACCCTTAAACTCATGGCAGCCCTCCTGCCTCAGCCTCTCCAGAAATAAGATTAAAGACACAAGCCACCACACCCACTTCTGACTTTTTGAATTGCTCATGTAGCTCATTGTTTTCAATTTGTCTTACATTTAAAATGAATTCATTTACACTTATGTATTTAATTTTAATTACCAATGTTAACCGTTACTTTCCCAACCCACAGGTATTTATATAATACGCAAGTGAAGGCAGTTTGTAATTTCTGTTAAAGCTTTCCTCTTGAGTTTGGAAATCTGTATGAGACTTTCTGTGCTTGTTTGAGAACCCAGAGGTCGATTTTACGGGTAAAGAAATTAAAGTTGAGAGTAACTGAATTCTTGCTCAAAGTTCTGTATGTAACACATGACTTGAAAATATAACCTCTTCCACTTGTGATGTTCCACTTGCTTAGTTTATATCCTTTCCTTATCTGGGAGCTTTCTGGAGCTCAACTGCCATTGTCTTTAACCCATGAACCTAGAGTTCCACGTTTCCATTAACATTCTCTTGCATTCCTCATATGTGCTGAAGCCCTTCTCAGGGTATCTTGAGACAACTTTTCTTGTAGTTGGTTGTTTTTACTCCTTACTTCTTTGAGGTCTTTCTTATGAATGACCGGCCTTAGTTTGACTTGTTCCTAGCCAGTTTTTTTTTTTAAATTATCCCAACTACCTTTTGCCTCTGGGATTTTTTTTTTTTTGGTTTTTCGAGACAGGGTTTCTCTGTGTAGCTTTGCGCCTTTCCTGGGACTCACTTGGTAGCCCAGGCTGGC